GAAAGACCTGAATGTAAGTCATGAAACCATAAAACTCTTAGAAAAAAACATAGGCAAAAATCTCTTAGACATAAACATGAGTGACCTCTTCTTGAACATATCTCTCCGGGCAAGGGAAACAAAAGCAAAAATGAACAAATGGGACTATATCAAGCTATAAAGCTTCTGTACAGCAAAGGACACCATCAATAGAACAAAAAGGTATCCTACAGTTTGGGAGAATATATTCATAAGTGACAGATCCAATAAAGGGTTGACATCCAAAATATATAAAGAGCTCACACACCTCAACAAACAAAAAGCAAATAATCCAATTAAAAAATGGGCAGAGGAGCTGAATAGACAATTCTCTAAAGAAGAAATTCAGATGGCCAACAGACACATGAAAAGATGCTCCATATCACTTGTTATCAGAGAAATGTAAATTAAAACCACAATGAGTTCATCTCACACCAGTAAGGATGGCTACCATCCAAAAGACAAACAACAACAAATGTTGGCGAGGTTGTGGAGAAAGGGAAACCCTCCTCCACTGCTGGTGGGAATGTAAATTAGTTCAACCATTGTGGAAAGCAGTATGGAGGTTCCTCAAGAAGCTCAAAATAGAAATACCATTTGACCCAGGAATTCCACTTCTAGGAATTTACCTTAAGAATGCAGCACTCCAGTTTGAAAAAGACACATGCTCCCCTATGTTTATCACTGCACTATTTAAGATATGGAAGCATCCTAAATGTCCCTTAGTAGATGAATGGATAAAGAAGATGTGGTACATATACACAATGGAATGTTATTCAGCCATAAGAAAAAAACAAATCACCATTCGCAACAACATGGATGGAGCAGGAGGGTATTATGCTCAGTGAAGTAAGCCAGGTGGAGAAAGACAAGTACCAAATGATTTCACTCATATGTGGAGTATAAGAACAAAAGAAAACTGAAGGAACAAAACAGCAGCAGAAGCACAGAACCCAAGAATGGACTAATAGTTACCAAAGGGAAAGGGACCGGGGAGGATGGGTGGGAAGGGAGGGTTAAGGGTGGGAAGAAAAGAAGGGGGCATTACGATTAGCATGTATAGTGTTGGGGTGGCATGGGGAGGGCTGTGCAACAGAGAAGACAAGTAGTGATTTTACATCATCTTACTATGTTGATGGACAGTGACTGTGAACGGGGATGTGCGCGGGTCTTGGTGAAAGGGGGAGCTTAGTAAACATAATGTCCTTCATTTAATTGTAGATTAATGATACCAAAATAAAAACAAAATTTCATTTCAACTTGGTAGTGGAGACATATTAAAAGCATCTTAAGACCCTGAAAAGCAAACTTGTGGTTGCTTTTCCACTAGCATGGGTGTCTGGCTTTGTAAAAGAGTGCACCACCCAAGAATCCTTTGTCACTGTGTTCTTTATTGACATGAGGTTTCAGACGTAAAGGCTAAAAAAGAAAATTAACCCTTTTTTATTTCAACTACTTAATGAAAAAGGCTACTCTATATTATGACCAAGGATTAATATTAGTGTTGGATCTCATCCATAAGTGTAGCATTTAGCAATGGTAAGAATTATTTACAAACTTAAAAAAACTCAAGGCTAGTATTCTTTAGTTTTATTCCATCTATCACAATGACATACTAAGAACATTTATATAACTGATGGCTTAAATGCTCTATGTTGTACTCTGAAAAGATGAAAAGATTCTAAGAGCCATTACACAATGACAAATGCCAGGTAGAAATAGAATTTTAATAATCAGTAAAAACTATTTCTAATGATTTCCCACAAAGAAAATACTGCATTTTTGCTCTTTAGTTTATTGTTGGTATATTATATTGTGTATTTATATTAAGTATATGTTTGTATGAAGGCATACAAAGCCTTACAGAATTGTGGTTTAGGAAAGTATTTTTTCACTGTCTACTTTAACATTTAGGAAAGAAGTCCCTTCAAGAAACCTTGAAAATAATGTGTCTTTAAAGAATACTGAAAATAGTGTATCTTCAAAGAGTGTTGAAAATAAAGATACAGAAACAAATCTACAGTCTAAGCTATGGTCATCTTCTTTCTTAAAAGAGAACTCAGGTAATAACATTTGTATTATTTGTACTGTAGCTTCTAATTCATCCCTCCTTTTCCATGACCTTTGGGTATTGACAACTCTGTAGGTCTGGGACAGGTCATAAGGATCCTTAATTTTTCAAATTCAAGTACCAGATGATTCTAATATGTCAAGTATGGGATACATGACATAAAATAATATTGATGCGGTATTGAATATTAGAATGAATTAAAATACTGAAAGCATTAAGTCCCATTCATTGAACAGTGGTTTATTGAGCACCAGGCATAGAAGCTATGGTTACAGTAGTTAGCAAGAAGGCAAGGGCCTTGTCCTTAATGAAGCTTACATTATAGTGGGAGATAGAGAGCCAACTGTTAAACAATAAAACAAATAGGTTGTGATGATGCTATAATATAAATGGCACCTGGGAAAGGACTACCTTAAATCTAAAAATGAGGAAACCTCTCATGTTGCTCAGTAAGTATGTGTAATTTAGACAGTCCCTGTGACATCACTTAAAATCCCTAATTACCTATTATGACCTCCCTCACACCCCATGACTTCAGTGTGAGGAGTCAGCACAGGCTAGGTACACACTGCAAGAGCAGACTGGTCTGTGAGCTGACAGAGACTACAAACAGGACAGAAGCAGGTCGACACCCCAAATGGTGCAGCCATCCTAATCCTGGAAGGATTCGGTATCCCTTCTCAGTGTAACATGTTTTGTTTAGGGTCAAAAGTTTTACCAATTTTTTTTTCAATCTGTGTTTTCTCAACACTGTCCTCTCTCCAGTTCTCCTGGATTTCCTCATTTTCTTCCTAACACAGTGTTTCTGCATTATTTGGAGTAACTGATGGCCATACTCCCTTCAAAGAAGGCATCTCACAAGACATCCATGAAGACAAAGGAGTTGCCAAGCTCGTTCAATAGTGTTTCCATAGTGTTTCCCAAAGAGATAATTTTAGGAAACATAGTAAACTTCTTTTTGAAAAAATTGATATAAGTATACTTCAATGTGTGTTAGGAAAAGGTAAGCCATAATTAAAAATATGGATTCCCAGATCTATCACTATTTAGCAGTGTGAAGTTGGGCAGGTCATTTAACTTCTCTGTCCCTCAGTTTCATCTATGAATAGGATGAAAATAGTACATACGTTGGGGTGTTGAAAGGATTAAATGAGTTAATATACTCTTCTGTATATTAATGGCATATATACAGAAGAGTAATGGCATATAATGTAATTATATTACCTTTATTATATCATTTTCATAGATAATATTTATGATGTGATAAAATATATAAGTTAAAGTAGATTTAAAAATTAAATAGTATAGGAGAAACTCATATATGGCAAATGAAGATAGTATAAGAATTATGCTTTTGGGAATGTTGCAGTGAATTGCACCACTGGAGTTTGCCTCTTAAATTTATTTCTCTAATCCATACTCTCCTTTCCATCCCTGTTTTACCAGTGCCCTATCATTAATCATCTCTTACTGGGTCAGACCTCTAACCTCTCTCCTTGCTCTTTTTTTTTTTTTTTTTATTTTTTTGGTCTACTGTTAAATGCACTTTCCATCCTGTTATCCAAGTGTTCCTTCAGAAATGCAGAATTGATCATACATGTTTGCCTACTTAAAATCTTCATCAGTAGTTCCTTCATTCCTAGGACAAAGTCCTAACTTCAAGGCTTCTGGCCCACAAGATTCTCCATTATCCAGCCAGCCCCTGCCTATTTTTCTAGCCACATCTGTCATACTTGACCTCTAAGCAATACCAAAGTGCTTAGAGCTCCACACACATTCTTGTTTTTGCATTGGCTCATACTGTCCCCTCTTCTTCGGGAAATTGATCCACTTAGACTGGACGATTTCTGACCATTCCCCAGACCACCTGGGGCTATCCTTTTTCTCCTATTCACCTATGTACACATCTTTTTCACTGTATTGCCTTACTGTTTTATAATTTTCTCTGACTTGGGAAACCACTAGGCTCCCCGGTTAGAGTATGAGTGAGTACCCTGAGGTCAAGGACTGTTCATTTTTGGATTCCGGGGACTTTGTGCCGGGCACTAAGTGAGTAGTCAATAGTGCTTTTTCTTTTTCAGTCATCTGGGTTTGGTCATAGGTACTGTGGCTTGACATCAAGAAAAATCAATAATGTTATATAACCTCTACTTATATCTAGAATACTTCATATGCATTTCTTCCTAATTTGTCAGGGGACATGGGGTGTGAGAAAGAGAAAGAACTTCATCCTCAAGTATCTGAGGAGTGACATAACCTGCCTAAGAAGAATTATTTACTTTTCAGCCTCTCCAGTCTTAATTGTACTCTCCAAGCTCTTTATTTTGAATTTACGTTCCTGTGCAAACAATTTAGGAAATGCACTTCTGGAAACAGAATAACATTAACTTATTTTTTCTTGAAATTATTACATTATTTATAAACAAAACAATTTTCCATTTATTAAAATTTCAAGCACCAAACAGCACTGATATCAGCTCACTGTTATTGGTTTAGGTCTTCTCACGCTTGACAGTTTTATTGCCTTTTTTGGAAATAGAAGTCAGGTAATTTTATTGCAGTGCTATTTAGAAATGAAAGAAAAATTCACTTCAGAACAGGAAGCCATATAGTAAACATGTACACATGTTATAATTTAGGAGTAACCATTTAAAATTTTGAACTTTTCAGTATTAATTAATTATGTATATTCTGCTTTAGGTGAAGTGGGCAAAGATGCAATCATTGTAGAGAAGGGGGAAAATAACGAATATTGCCTTCAGGATATTGATAAGTTATCCAACACAACAACTGATGATGGTGAAGAGGATAGCAGTGATGAGGACAGTGATGACAACAGCGACCCTCATAAGGAGACTCCTGCTCCATTAGAGTTAATGGCAGAGGTAAGTTTTACTTGTGCATTATAATTTAAGAAACTTTAAAATATTAAAGTAACTAAATAGTATATAGCCTTGAATTTTAAAAAAAGATATAAACCCTACAGTATGGGAGGATATGTTCATAAATGACAGATCTGATAAAGGGTTGACATCCAAAATATACAAAGAGCTCATGTACCTCAACAAACAAAAAGCAAATAATCCAATTAAAAAATGGGCAGAGGAGCTGAACAGACAGTTCTCCAAAGAAGAAATTCAGATGGCCAACAGACACATGAAAAGATGCTCCACATTGCTAATTATTAGTGAAATGCAAATTAAAATCACAATGAGATATCACCTCACACCAGTAAGGATCACCACCATCCAAAAGACAAACAACAACAAATGTTGGTGAGGTTGCGGAGAAAGGGGAACCCTCTTGCACTGCTGGTGGGAATGCAAATTAGTTCAACCATTGTGGAAAGCAGTATGGAGGTTCCTCAAAAAGCTCAAAATAGAAATATCATTTGACCCAGGAATTCCACTTCTAGGAATTTACCCTAAGAATACAGCAGTCCAGTTTGAAAAAGACAGATGCACCCCTATGTTTATCACAGCACTATTTATGATAGCCAAGAAATGGAAGCAACCTAAGTGTCCATCAATAGATGAATGGATAAAGCAGATGTGGTACATATACACAATAGAATATTATTCAGCCATAAGAAGAAAACAAATCCTACCATTTGCAAGAACATGGATGGAGCTAGAGGGTATTATGCTCAGTGAAATAAGCCAGGCGGAGAAAGACAAGTATCAGATGATTTCACTCATACGTGGAATATAAGACAAAGAAAAACTGAAGGAACAAAACAGCAGCAGAATCACAACTCAAGAATGGACTAACGGTTACCAAAGGGAAAGGGACTGTGGAGGATGGGTGGGAAGGGAGGGATAAGGACAGGGAAAAAGAAAGGGGGCCTTACAATTAGCATGTATAATGTGGGGAGGGCATAGAGAGGGATGTGCAACACAGAGAAGACAAGTAGTGATTCTACAGCATCTTACTATGCTGATGTGACTGTAATGGGGTTTGTCGGGGGGGTACTTGGTGAAGGGGGAGCCTAGTAACCATAATGTTCTTCATGTAATTGTAGATTAATGATAATAAAATGAAAAAGAAAAGATATAAAAAGATCCTCACCCTTATACAGAGGCTTACCTAGATAACTCATGTCTTTTACTACTTTTACCAGGTTAGAGGTGAAAGAAAATTCTGGAAGTGACAACAGTATTGTGGAAAAGCAAGAATAAGAGAAATTTTGGTACAAAGATTGTTTTAAGGAGTGCTTTCTACATATCAGGCACCATTCTAGTTACTGGGGATATTTAGAAATTTAAAAAAAAGTCCTTACCCTTAAGAACAGGTACATATTGTTTATTTAGTACAATTTGTAATAAAATTAATACATGCTGGTAGATGGATTTATAAAGTTCTCTGGACACAGAGAATTAAGTGACTGAGAAACGCAGGAAAAAACAGGATTAAGGAAGGATGTTTAGAGGAAGAGACATGAGTGGGATCTTAAAAACTTACTGGGAGAGGGAAGTGTAGAAATTTAGTAAAAAGTGGAGAAGGCATTTCTGGCATAGAAAACAGCATGTGCAAAAGCATTGAAACCTGAAATGTCACATGCAAAAATTGTACATAAAGATTTACTGGTAATTCTATGGAGAACAAACCAATTTTACCTCACTTCTTGCAGTATTGCAGTCTACCTTTAATTAATATTATACAACTTCAAGTATATATATATATTTCTAAATTTTTTATTAAGGTATGATGTATATACACTCTTATGAAGGTTTCACATGAAAAAACAATGTGGTTACTACATTTACCTATATTATAAAGTCCCCACCCATACCACAGTGCAGTCACTGTCCATCAGTGCAGCAAGATTCCACAGATCCACTATGTTCCTCTTCTGTGCTACACTGTTCTCCTTGTGTTCCCCCCGACACCATGTGTACTAAACATAATACTCCTCACTCCCCTTCTCCATCCCACAGCCCTCCCCTTTTGTAACAACTAGTTCATTCATGGAGTCTCTGAGTCTGCCACCATTTTGTTCCTTCAGTTTTGCTTCATTGTTATACTCCACAAATGAGGGAAATCAGTTGGCATTTGTCTTTCTCTGCCTGGCTTATTTCACTGAGCATAATATCTTCCAGCACCATGTTGTTGCAAATGGTAGGATTTGTTTCTTTCTTATGGCTGAATAGTTATTCCACTGTGTATATGTACCACTTCTTCTTTATCCATTCATCTACTGATGGACACTTAGGTTGCTTCTATATCTTGGCTATTGTAAAAAGTGCTGTGATAAACATAGGGGTGCATATGTCTTTTTGAATCTGAGATCATGTATTCTTTGGGTAAACTCCTAGGAGTGGAATTCCTGGGTCAAATGGTATTTCTATTTTTATTTTTTGAGGAACCTCCATATTGCTTTCCACAATGGTTGAACTAGCGTACATTCCCACAAGCAGTGTAGGAGGGTTCCCCTTTCTCCACATCCTTGCCAACATTTGTTGTTCTTAGTCTTTTCGAAGCTGGCCATCCTTACTGGTGTGAGGTGATATCTCATTGTGCTTTTAATTTGCATTTCCCTGATGATTAGTGATGTGGAGCATCTTTTCATGTGTCTGCCATCTGAATTTTTTCTTTGGAGAACTGTCTCTTCATATCCTCTGCCCATCTGTTAATCTGGTTATTTGCTTTTTGGGCATTGAGGCGTGTAAGTTCTTTATATATTTTGGATGTTAACCCCTTGTCGGATATGTCATTTACAAATATATTCTCCCATACTGTAGGATGCCTTTACAACTTCAAATATATTTTAAGAACTTCATAACAGTATACTTTAATTTCCCACTTCTCATTCTTTCTATTATTATTGTCATACATTTTACTTTTAAATACAAGCTCTACCATATGTATTTTTTTCCTAATACAGACTGTCCCCAGCTTATGATGGTTCAGCTTAAGATTTTTCAACTATACAATGGTGCAAAAGTGATAATGCATTCAACAGAAACAGTACTTTGAGTTTTGAAATTTGCTTTTCAGGCTAACAATAGGCAGCACAATTCAGTGGCAGCAATTAACAGTTCCCAAGTCAGCCATGTGGTCATGAGAGCAAACAACTGATAAAACCATCTGTCCCCATATAGCCACTCTATTTTTCACTTTCAGTACTGTCTTCAATATATTACATGAGATATCCAATACTTAATTATAAGATAGGCTTTGTGTTAGAGATTTTGCCCAACTGTAAGATCATGTAAGTGTTTTGAGCATGTTTAAGGTAGGCTAGGGTAAGCTATGATATTTGGTAGGTTAGGTGTATTAAATACATTTTTCACTCACAGTATTTCCTCAGCTTAAAATGGATTTATCAGGATATAACTCCATCAGAAGTTGAGGAGGATTTATGCTTTGAGAGGTTTCATTGTCAATAGTTTGTATAGTTTAAGCAGGATGTCTGCTGTTATTTCCTTCAATCATCCATATATAATACGGCTTTTGATCTTTTAATACATTTCCCCTCTATTATTATTTTTGGCAATTTGATTATGATGTTCCTTGATGTGATTTTCTTCATATTCTTTTCATTGAGATTCTTGGGTCTATAAATTTATAGTTTATACCAGGTTTGGAAAATGTTCAGTTATCAATTCTTCCAATATTTTTTCTGACTTCTGCCCTTCCTTTCTTCATCTGGGTTACAATTACATGTATGTAGGACCACCCAATATTACCCCAGAGGTCACTAATGTTCCTTTTTTCATTTTTTTCTCTACATATTTCAATTTAGAAATTTATATTGCTATGTCTTCAAGTTCATCATCTTTTCTTTGCAATTATAATCTGCTGTTAATCCCATCCTTCCTCTTCCTCCTCTCCCGTCTTTCTCTCTCTCCCCATCCCTCCATATGTATTTCAATTTTATTTAAATTTTTTTATCTATCATTTCTCTTCACATCATATTCATGTTTTCCTCTACTTTTGAGCATAGGACATATATTTATGATAGCTATTTTAACATGCTTGTCTGCTATGCTATAATCTTTGTCAGTTCTAGGTCATTTTCTATTGATTCATTTTATCCTGCTTATGGGTCACATTTTCCTACATCTTTGCATGCGGTAATTTTCTGTCGAATCCTAGGCATGGTACATTTTATGTTCTTGGATACAAACTTTTGTTGTTTTCCTTTAAATATTGTTGGACTGATCTGTAACATAGTTGAGTTACTTGAAAGCAGGTTTTCTTTTTGAGTCTTGCTTTTAAGCTTTGTTGGGACACTACTAAAGCAGTACTCTTATGAGGACTCTTCCCAATACTCTGTATTTTAAGAGGACCTTTCACTCTGGTTGGAGAGAAGAAGAACTCTTTCTTCTCAGCCCTGTGTGAGATCTGGTGATTGTTCCACCTGCTCATTCTACTAATACTCTTTCCAGCCTCAGATAGTTTCTTTGTACTCATATGCAGATCAGTGCCAGCCAGAGATTCAGAGACCCCTCTGCAGATTGCTGGAACTCTCTTTTTTTTTATTGAAGTATAGTTTATATATAATTTATTAGCTTCAAGCATACAGCACACTAGTTCATCAATTACCAACATTATTAAATCCTCATCCAAACTAGGGCAGTTCCTGTCTGTCACCATAGGAAGATGCTACAGCATCATTGGCTATATTCTCCCACTGTACTACCATCCCCATGACCAACTTACACTACGATTGAGAATTTTTGTGCCCCTTTATCCCCCTCTCTTTCCCCACCAACCCATCCAATCCCTCCCATGGAAACCCCCAGTCACTTCTTAGTGTCTATGAGTCTACTGCTGTTTTGTTCATTTTGCTTTGTCTTGTGAAATTCTCTATGAAGCTCACTTCTCTCTTGAAACTAAATGCTATATTGGCCTCTCTGAGCTCCAAACAATATTTCAGGTG